TTCTATCTCTGTGCTTGTGCATCCCTAGCTAGTGTCATGGCCCTGTGGCAATAACCAGCCAGCACAGAGACATCACCTGTGGCTTTCTTCTGTCCTGATCCAAAGACAGACCCAAGATCAGGCTCACCCAAGTGGGCCTGGCGCTATTTCTGCTTCTGATCACTTTGCCTGGTGGTGGATGTCTGTGGGACAACATCCAGCATGATACACATTGCACTTCTTCCATGGAAAAAGCAACATATGCCCCCATTAACCATTGAGTTGCGTAGGAGCAGGCAGTAATTCATCCTTCTACTGAGGTTTTCTGGGGATATTGCAACTTCTAATCTTCCACAGCCACTTTTCTGGAGGATAGGCATATTTGCATACTTCCTAATTCCCTGCTTATTCCAAAAATAGATCTATATTTTATATTTCTGCACACTTAATTTGAACTTTTATTTTGCTTACATAGTAATGAAATCAGTTTACATAATAATTCTCTTGTTCCCTTGACAGTCCTTATTGCCTAGACATGCTGGTTTTTGTTACCTTACGTGAACCATTAATTGGAATCTGATGTTCTTGGCAGGAGTACAGTCACAAATGACAGTGTCGTACATCTGTGCTTACTGTGGGGGGAGTGTCTCAATTTTAAAATGTGAGCAGAAGAGCAGAACCTCCAAATAACATCCATCTTAGAAAACAATTTCAGATATAGTCTGTTGTTGCAATATACAGGAAAATAAACAGTTCTTCAAAAAGTAATTTTCCAGAATATCACTGGGATATTACTTTTTTAGATGTCTAGGTGTTAATATTTTCTAGATTATTCTCTATACTTTTTTGAGGCAAATTACCAGCTTATGCTTTTCAGTTGTACAGCACTGAGTGCGACAGGGTCTATGGCCAAGCCTCCAGGATTATAACATTTATAGAAACAGATATCCACACAGCTACTGCACCAGAGTTCACGTTTTTTACTCTTCGTTTCATCTCACTACAAAGTATCATCATGGTTATTGTTGAAAATGAGATGTTAGATGTTTAGCTGCAAAATATAGGGAAGTTTCCTCCTCACAAAGAAGAAAATCCAGTAATGGCAGAAGATTCATACCAATGGATGACAGTGCGAGGCTTTGCTCCCAACAGGGTTTGACTTGGTGGAAAATGGCCATGTCCTTGTTTCAGACCTGTCACCTTCTGTTTGGGGAGTGGTGGTGTTTCCTCAGTTTGTTCTAGTTTTCATAAATAACTGAGGCAGACTGAGAGCTGAGGACTGTCAGCTCCTGGACCTGATGGCAGTGGTGGCTACCAAGATCGTCATGAGTGCCCAGAGATCAGATGTCATTTGGGATGCTGAAGCCATTGTTTGATATATGTTTTAATTGAGAGCAGCCCTGCAGAGAAGGACTTGGGGATACTGGTGGATGAAAAGCTGGCCATCAGCTGGCAATGTGTGCTTGCAGCCCAGAAAGCCAACTATATCCTGGGCTGTGTCAAAAGAAGCATGTCCAGCAGGTCGAGGAAGATAGTTCTGCCCCTCTACTCCACTCTGGTGAAACCCCATCCAGCTCTGGGGTCCTCAGCGCAACAAAGACATGGAGCTGTTGGAGCAGGTCCAGACAAGGGCCACAAAAATGATCAGAGGAGTGGAACACCTCTCCTGTGAGGAAAGGCAGTTGGAGTTGTTCAGCCTGGAGAAGAGAAGGGTCCAGGGAAACCTTTCTGTGGCCTTTCAATACTTACAGGGGACTTATAAGAAAGATGGGGACAGACTTTTTAGTAGCGCCTGTAATGACAGGACAAAGGGTAATGGTTTTAAACTAAAAGAAGGTAGATTTAGATTAGATACAAGGAAGAAATTTTTTACAGTGAGGGTGGTGAAACACTGAAACAGATTGCCCAGAGAGGTGGTAGATGCCCCAACCCTGGAAACATTCAAGGTCAAGTTGGATGGGACTCTGAGCAACCTGATCTAGTTGAAGATGTCCCTGCTCGTTGCAGGGGGGATTGGACTATATGGCCTCTGAAGGTCCCTTCCAACCCAAACCATTCTATGATTAATCCAGTGCTGTTCTCAAAAGAAGAAATTTTGCTTGGTCACCTTCCCCAATCTCCTCCTTCCCTGTCCCAGCTCATGTTGTCCTTCAGCCTTGCAGCAAGTTGAACTGGGGCTGTCCTCAGAGTATGCATGGCCATGTACCTGCAATAGCCAGAACCTCTCTCTTCATTTTACACATCTCTTGGTGAACACCTTGCTAGCCTCCCTTAAAAAGGACGATAGGGCTTCCTCACCGCAAGCCCACCCACTGGTGTCCTGCTTGCTGCCTTTGAAAAGCTGAGCAGTATTACCCTTTCTCCGAGGGTGCGTTAGAGATGCTTTTGCAGAAGAGACGTAGCTGCTGCTACACAGTGACTTTGGTGCCCACAAAATCCAAAGACCTGGAGATGAAAGCAAGACAACCTAGAATTGAGATAGGATGGGGGGAATATAAAAAAGACTTTGTGAATTCCTTCTAGAGAAGTTAAAATACTACTTTTGGGGGAGCAGGAGTATTCAGGTGGCTCGGTGGCCACCCTGCATTGCTGATGGCCCAGGGACGCTGCGCTGCTGGAGGAGGTTTCCAAATGTGAATCCTCGGGTCTTGCTCCTGGGTTGTAATTGTGTTATTAGCTTCTTGGAAGAAGTACTAAAAGCAGAATCAGACTGCAGGTAGTCCAGACAGAATGTCTACACATCGCTTTAACAACTGTACAGAAGTATCTGAAGTGGGCACTGAGGCTTGGTTGTCACACCTGGTGTTAAGTCTTGCTGGTTTTAAGAAAAGGCAAAAAAATGTGGACACCATGCCAGGGCTGCCTTCAGAGGATGTTTGCCATTGTTTTTCTCACTGCACATTCATCTTTCTAGCATCTGTCTTGGATTGACTGCCTCAGAAAAGGCATTTGCAAGTAGAATGGATGAGAAGTGTACTTAAAAGTCAAATATGGTTGGTTGTTGTAGGGCAGCTGATAGATAGTTGGCAAGACACCAAAAGGTCCAGACACTAATCTAATTGTTTACAGCTCATGGAGAGATTAATCCACAAGATTGGATGCCCTCATTTCCTTTACACATTACAATGAATGTGTGAGATGCCAAACCCCATGGGGCAGCAGCAGAAAGAAAAATGGCTCCATTTCAGTGCAGTTATTGTTTAAAGTTTAGAAATATATTGATTCTCTTTGGGTTTTGATAAGAATATAAATGCAAAGTGCCTTGCTTAATATCAGAGTATTCTTGTTTCCTAGCCTCAGTAAAACAAAGTTGCGCTTTCTTATTTTAGTGTAATATAATGCTGTGCACAATTCAGATCAAACATATGAAATGAAATGTATCCAATACACAGTGAAAATGGTCAGGATGCACTCTCTGGCTTGTGAGGGCACCGAGAACTGCAGATGCTCTGCATCTCTGAAAAATGAGCGAACCTACCTGCGGATGTCCAGGCTGGTGAGTTCTGAAAATCTTGGCTGCTCTAAGATGCCGTGCATTGGAACAGAATAAGCTCTGCAAAGCTTATTCAAACAGCAACCCCAGTATTACTTGGGTGACCAACGAGAGTAAAACAAACACTGCTGAGTGGCTGTTCCAAGCAGGATTTCTGTGAAATAGGCTTTTTCTGAACTGAAAATGAAGCTCAAGAGCAAACAGTACTGTGGGGCTATATCCACTTTGAAGAGGGAATGATTCAGTAAGACGACAATGTGGCTAACTGCAGGGTATGCTTCTGCCTCCCTCTGCCCCCCTGCATTGGTGTGGCAGAAACACGGGAGCACAGCCGTGTGGGGACGTGCTGCCCCAGCTGCCACACACTGAGGGTAGCGCCGGGCAGTGCACTTTGTCCTGGAGAAAAGGGATGTTTCATCCTCGTGATACCAGTCATGCTGCTAGTGATGCTAGTGAGTCGCCCCTTCTGCCGGCAAGGAAAATTACAGTGACTTTGGCCAGAAGCAGGATTTGGGAAGGCTACCTGGAGACCAGATAAATAACGCTTTGGTCTTGCAGACCTGTTAACCTCCAACTTACTGGCTGAAGTGGAAAAGTTTTCATGAGCAAAGTGTATGTGCATGTTTGCAAGCTAGTGAGCCTGTGAGTTGTTTACTGGTCATCACAATATTTTCTTGGTGAAATTTTGCTACAGTTGCAAAGAATTTTCAAAAAGCTAATGGGATTGAGATATATTTATTGCGATGTTGCAATACCTGGCACATTTGGGGGAAGAAAATTAATATCCTGAACTAGTCTTTGCAGTGTTCCTAATTCCTTGACTAAGCACGTCCTCATATATCATTTTACTTTACCAGCTTTTGGGAAGAAGAGAATGTTTTGCTAGTCAGGACTTGTTTTGACTTAGTTTTTAATAGTATCAGTCAGCACCATGTTGCCTGAAAGTCTGAATCTGACAAAAGTTTAGTTTTAAATGGGCTGCTTTTATGAGGTCATGTGTAGACTCATTGCGCCTCAATCAAGATCATAAATGTGTAATTTTAAAAACATTCAGTGAGAATAAGCATTTGCATATCCTTGGAGAAATTGTTCTCTGCTGCATAGCTGAGCTATTTCAGCCATGACGTGGAGGGGGCTTTTCAAGATTTGCATGTCACTTAAAATATTGTACTTTGCAAGGAAGGGTATAGAAAGAAATAGTGCAAGTAATTATTTTTTCTCTGTAGTGCAGTACTTCTCCCGAGGTAGAGAGTGACGGTACCAAGCATATCCAAAGCCAAGATTTCTGTGGTGCAAAAAACAGTTTGGGTGTTGAGTTGAAAGCTGGTCATCGCTGCACGTGAAAGCTAAATGAGGGAATGATGAGAGAGAGAGAGAGAGTAACTGTACAGAACAGTTTTGGTCCTCTACTTCTCAATTATTTTTTCTATTTTGGGTGTCTTACAGAGCAGTCAGCATAGCAAGGTCTTGATAAAAGGTCAGCCATGGCTTGTGTTTCTGTCCTTCAGAACTGGTGTTTCTTCCACAGGGAGTGGAGCGCATTGACCTGCCGGGGCTCAGGAGCCTGCGCACCACCCGCAACCTGGAGCAGGGCATGGTGCTGACCATTGAGCCGGGCATCTACTTCATCGACCACCTCTTGGACCAAGCCCTCCGTGATCCTGCGCAGTCCTGTTTCATCAACAATGACGTCCTGCAGCGCTTCAGAGGATTTGGTGGGGTGAGTAATTCTTAACCAGATGTTTTTATGAAACTGGTTTTCTGTTTGTTTGCCCTTACTATGTACTTGAGAAGAAATCTGTTGGAAGTTGTAATATATTGCACGTAGGGCTGTTCCTGAAGGCAGCACCATGAGCCATTTGACCCTGCAGACAAACCAAGAGGTTTTTTTGTTATTTTTCAAGGCGATTCTATACTAGTGATATCTGATTAACAATACACCCGTATTTTTCCATTGACTGAAATACCTTCTGTCAGCACTGTACAGTGACTTGCCAGGTAGGTGTTTTGTCTAATGTGTGAAACGTGTATGCTATGAAATATGAGATGAGATCTGTAGTCCAGAGTTAGCTTCCTCGACAGCAGCAGAGTCCAGTGCTCCCTCCCAGGGCAGAAAAGCCTGATGCTGTTTAAGTCAGGGAGGCAGTAGAGAAAAAGAGCAATAATTGCTCTTACTGGATTATTGCCAGAATTGTGTGAAACTTGTGAACGTAAAGCCTTCTCTGATTTCCAAAGGAATGGCCAACAGTCTGCTAGAGGTATGTCATTGCAGGCTCAGGCAGAGTGTGTGTGCAGGAGGGTTGCTGACTTGGGAGATAGCCGTGATCCAGGGGATCATTCCCATGCAGGCAGCTGCTGTGCAAGTAGAGGGGCCTTGTTTCTCCTTGATCTCCAGGGCACATTTCCCATTCAAAGCCACCGCCCTCGCAGAGCGTTCAGCAGTTGCAGCGGCTTCCAGTGGGTTTTCATTTTAGCAGGGAGAGCATTTGAAGGGTGCCGCATTGTTCTTCAAGCTTCCGTATTCATGCACAGAGAAGATAGAGCAGGCAGCTGCAATGCCCCATCCTCCTCATGGCTTTTCTGCTAAGTCTCAACACGGCTAACAATCACTGGCAACAGCGGTGATTTTCTGGTATGAAAAGTCACTCATTAGGAATTGTCTGCTGCTGCCATCGACTAATTTACCACTGTACGCCAGCCATGAGAGGGTAATTACTGTAACGCTTTTGGTCTGAGCTGGCTTTGAACCACCAACCCTGACAGAAAAGCTGTGTGTGCCATCACCAGTCGTGTGAGTCAGCCAGGCTCCTGGGCAGCTGCCCGTGGAGGCTCCCCGTACGATGTGTGTGCAGCCTTATCGAGAGATGTAGGACTTTACCCTCACTGGTATTTAATTCACCGCTGAGGTTTGGGACATTATCTGTTTCTGCATTGTTTCTTTATCAAGACTTGCCAGCCAGCCAACTGAGATAGTGGTGAACGAAAGGCAGCTACCTCTGCACTTTGTAACTGCGAGCATGTTATATATGGCGCCGCACGCTGGAGCATATTTTAAAAGAACACTGTAATGCACTTGTGTAGCTTGACACCACAGTGAAAACAGGTTTAACTATCTTCGCTCTCCTTGTAAACACTCTGTGGGAGTTTTTCAGCAGTTGAATTGATTCCTGGTGAGCTTTCTCTGGAAATGCTCAGTGAAGCCCACGTTTTTCCATAACTGCTGTGAATGCCCACTCCAGCTCTGCAGCTTGAGGCATGCACGTGGCTCACCTGCTGCCTCTGCGTGGAATAGGAGTGACAGCACAGGATCTCTACCTTAGTAATAAGTTGCTGGATCAGACACTTTTGTTCCAGAGATTTCAGGCAAAGTCTTAACTTTCTCCCCTGTTTTTGCTTAGCTTCCTGTAATGATGACTTGTAAGGAGAGCTAGCCAACAAACTTTGCTAAAAGGGGGAGCTGCCCAAAAACGATTGAGCAAAAATCTAAATCTCCGATCCCCCTGTGAACAATACATTTTACTTAGAGAGAAAAAAATAATAATACACACATACCCTGAGCCAGATGTTGTCACTTGATTTTGTCCAGGAGAAGGATGGAAATAAAATCTGGGAGTGAAGTACATCTGAATATTTCTGAATTATACACAAAAGCTGAATTGTAATGAATCAAAATGAATTTTTCCATCTTTATAATTCTGACTTGATTCTGCATGAATAGAAGATGCAATTTGTGCTGTGTAGTGTGCTTAGTTATTTGCATGCTGGTTCATTCTAGTTTATCCAGAATGAGTATTTCTTTCAAAATCATGTTAGAAAACTTTTTCTCTAAGTGATTAAAAAAGATCTTGTGAAGCCCAGCGTTTTTACTAATGAATATTAATAATACAAGGGTTAGTATTGGTGTCAGTTCTAGCTAAAGAGCTCACTACAGCCAGTCCAATCTTCCTTTAAGCTTAAAAAAAAAAAAAAAAGACATTCTACAAAAGGAAATAAGTAGTCCTTTTCCCTCTGCAGAGCTCAGCACTAATTAAAATGTTCTTAATTTGGTTTAGTTTAATTCACTTCAAAAACGAACTTACATTAACCAAAGTAACACCACTGTAATTCTGAGTAAGACTGACTGCACTGGGGATTTGTGGATTTTAATGAATTCACCTTGAATTCATGTCTTTTTTTGGGGGGCTTTGCATAATTTTCTCAACTGTGACAAGTCTCTGCATTGAGAAGAGAAGCTCTTTTGCTGTGCCAAAAAGGGCAAGACTGTAGCCATTTATTGTAATTCACACTGCCCGGTATTAGCCATAAAGAGATTGTAAAAGCTGCAAGAGCAGGAGAGAGAGACAACACAAGGTTTTCCTTCGCCTGCTCTGCATTGCTGCGGGCGTGCGGGGCATGTGCTGGCGGTACCAGTGCAGCTCCTGCGCACAGTCAGAACACATCGTCAGCAGCTCGGCTTTCCGGTGTCCCAGTAACACAGACACCCACGCTTCATGGCTGTAACTCTGCTCAGGGACCTCATAATTTGGGCTTTTACCAATCGAGACCTGTTCTGGGTCAAATACAGATCCCCCTGGAGGGAGGCAAGAAGTTTTGCTAGGGGATCTGCTTCTGAGAGCAGGGGCTGCCCTGTCTGAAGCCCTAGACTCTGCTTGACAGCTGTTGAGTTCAGTCCTTCACAAGCGGCCAGTTTTGGGAAGTCGTTCAGTCACATGTACTTCAGTTCTTCATCGGCAAAACTAAGGTCTAATTTACCGAGGTCATAAATTCTGTGGGGCAAGGGCTGCCGTTGGGTGCTGGCGCAGCGCCTGTCCCAGGGTACCTCTGCTCTACCTGGACTCTGCCTGTGCCGCGCTCATAAATAAACATAGATGTGCAAATAGAGAAATGTATATACAGTTGTATATATTGCTCAGGAAAAGCAGCCGATTCCTCAAGGAAGGGGAAATACTGACTCCAAATGCTGCCCTTTAGGGTTTGACATTTCCATTCTTCATAAGCTGATTACTGATTCATGCAGTTCAGACCCAGTTCAATCGGTTTTTGGCCTTACGTATTCAGTCTCAGTTCAGGCTTTATTTTTCCCTAGGATTTGTGGAACTAGCACTAGACTTAATATGTGAAAACTCTATGCAACTTAGAGAAAATGCTGAAAGACAGCTAAATGTTAAATACCTTGCCTTCATTTGCAGATTTATCTCATTTAAAAGTTAAATAGATTTACAAAGCCCAGGACCTTGAAGATCCACTAATATTATAGTATTTTTCAAAACAATAGTACTTCCCTTACTCAGGAACAAATGTTAAACCAAATAAAAACCAAGACATTTTAGTTGCTTCTACCTTTGGTTCACAGAGCCATGCAGTTGTCTCTGTCCTGATTTTTATTTTTCAGAAGGTTGAGCTCTGTTTCTGCGTGTTGTGGAATGAAATAGTTTACCAGGCAATAAACATGATGCTGATCTGCTTTTTAACATTTCATATTATGCGGTAGTAATAATGCTACACAGCATTTTTTGAATTCTTTTCATAGAAAAGCAGTTATAATGAAATATGTAGCTTTTTTTGAAGTTCTTGTAAGAGAAGTGGTAGTTGTAGGCAACCCAAAACCAGTGACTAGTTGGTTATAAACCTTCTTTAACCCTTTTCTCTTGTCTAATTAACATAATTAGGCTAAAGTAAGATCAGTTATTTCTAACCTGTATTTAGCTTATAGTTTATTGCTTCTTTTTGAGCCTGGATGAAAGGACTGTGTGCCTGAAGCTTCTTATGCCAGCCCTATCAGTTGATCTAATAAAATACATGGCCTCACCCTGCTAATCTTGATCATCTTTTATAAAATGTTTATACGTGGACCTTTAAAATAAAGTGTGCCTGACATGAGGGCTTGCTTGTGAATAAGCAGCGAGAAGACTGACAGCATGGAATGAGAAAGAGTCACTGTGTAGCACAGAGCCTATTAGCCTCTATAGAAATCATGTTGGCATTGCCACTGCATACGACATGGGAACAGGAAAGTGCCTTCCCAACCCTGCAACGTACCACCTACGCCCGGGTTTGACATCAGGGCAGCTCTCTTTCCTTACCAGTCCCCCTGAAATACAGCAGTTGAACCCTGCTCATGCTAAGTTTGGACTATTAAAAATTATTGGTGAGTTGGTGGCTGGGTAATAAGCCCCCTAGGCTCCATGCATCTGCCTCTTTAGGATACCAGTTATAAAACCAGACACGTGGATCCTTCAGCTGGACAGAAGCACGTGTGCTAATTTATGGAGTAGTATGTGTGGCCCACATCCTGTCATCGTTTCCCAGGCAAGCCTCCCACTCTAAGATCTTGCAGTGATAGTATTGCTGCTTTCCACAGCCATAATCAAATAAATGCTCAATAGATTAAAAAAAAAAAAAAAAAAAAAGAGGAGACATGTCACCAGTGGTCTTTTTTAATCACATCTGGGATCTGTCATTGTGCAAATTTGGACTATTTAATTGCCCAAAATTGTTTCTTGATTCTCAAAAGCCTTTTATATATATCATCATCCAAAAGAAATGAATGAGTGCTACAACCCCCTTCCCCTGGAAGATAACACAGGAGGCTCTGGGGAGCATGACTGTATTAGTAAGTCAGGACAAAGTGCGAGGCTGTATATATAGCTGACAGCAGCCTTGGTATTTAACTCCTGTGCTGTCCTTGGCTGTGCCCGCGCAGCCCTGCTTTGGGACAGAGTTGGGTCCATTGAGTCGAGCCACATGATGGTCTGTCTGTTGCTGGCATTAGGCAGTTGTGCAATCAGTTGTGCAGACAGATCATGTCACTACCCTTGATAAGAAAAAGGCATTTTAGGAACAGTCCTGGCATTC